AGATTTTTGGTTTTATTTTTCTTTGCTGGTTTGTTGGGTCCTTTGCAGGTTTTGGGATCAGGGGTATGCTTGCATTCCTGGAATAAATCCCCCTTGGTCATGGTGTATAATCTTCTTGATGATTCGCTGCATTCTACTTGTCAGGATTTTATTGAGAATTTTTGCATCAATGTTCATTAGTGAGATTGGCCTATAGTTCTCCTTTTTGGTTGGATTCTTCTCTGGTTTAGTATCAGGGTAATGCTCACCCCCAGGAATGAGATGGTTAGTGTTGCTTCCTTTTCAGTTTTATTAAAGAATCTGAGGAGTGGCTGGGCATTTAGCTCAGTGGCATTAAGTGCCTGCTTGGCAAATATGAGGTCATGATTTTGATCCCTGGCACCAAAAATAATTAATTAATTAATTTTTAAAAATCTGAGGAGTAGTGGCATTAGATCTTCTCTAAATGTCTTGCTGACAATTCCCCTCACCTGGAGTAGTGTTTTCCATCCTTTGACTTTCAGTCTATGAATTTCTTTTTGAGTTACGTGTGTTTCTTATGTGCAGCACACTGTTGGATCTTGTTTCATCATTCAACCAGAAATTCCAGGAGTGAATCCATTAGAGCTGTGCTTTTCTTGTTGATAGTTCTTTTTTATTACTTCTTCAATTTTGTTGATGATACTGTGTTATTTAGAATTTCTATATCTTCTTAACTGTGGTAGTTCAAATGTGTCTAGGATATCTATGAATCTTTCCATGTCTTCTGGATTTCCCATTCTATTAGAGTACATGTTCTTAAAATAGGTTCGATGATCTGGATTTCTGCAGGTTTGGTTGTGATTTCACTCTTTTCATTCCTAATGGTATGGATTTGGGTCTTTTCTCTCTTTGTTTTGATAAGGTTGGTTAAGACTTTATCTTTTAAACAACCAGCTCTTCCATTCATTGATTCTTTGTATTGTTTTCTTAGTCTCAATTGCATTATTTACTGCTCCAATCTTCATCATTTTTTCCTTATACAGGCTTTGTGGTTAGGCTGCTCCTCTTTTTCTAGAAATCTGAGGCCCAACATTAGGTTGTCTGAGCTGGCTCTGTTTTTCTTTTCTTTCTTTGTCGTGGAGGGCAGTGCTCGTCTCTCCTTCTGGAGTTGGATTCCATATTCTTCTCACTGTGAGCAAAGAATTGAGTGAAATGAGCCAAAACTAGTGGTGTAGCTTATTTGAAAAAGTAAAACTGAAGAGTGAGAGGGAAGTGGGCTCTACAGGATGAGCTTGGGCGGAGTAAAGAGGAAAAATCGAGACAGAAGTGCCCTCTGGAGTAAGCAGGACACGTTACTGTGAGGAAAGCCATGATCTGTCTCTCTGCTGTGGGAATCTACTACTATAAATTTCCCTCGTAGGACTGCTTTCTGTGCATCCCATAAGCTGCAGTATGTCACGCTGGCTGGCGTTATCATTAAATTGTACTGTCTAATTTCTCCTTTAATTTCAGGCAACCCCTTGGTTGCTCAGGAGGGTGTTAATGTCCACGTGTTTATGAAATTTTTGTGGTTTCTTGTGCCATTTATTTCTAATTTCTTTGCACTATGATCTGGGAATATCCATGAAGTAATTCTAATTATTTTAAATTTGCCCAAGCATATTCTGTGAGCTTATATGTGATCTGTTTTGGAAAAAGTCCTGAAGTAGCTGAGAAAATGTGTATGCTGTTGTTGTGGGGTGGGACAGTCTGTAGATACCTACTAAGGCCATTTGTTCACAGGTTTGGTTCAGATTTGGTATTTCTTCATTGCTTGTTTTGGTCTAGCTGATCTATTTGTGACAGTGACATATTAAGGTCCCCTATTCATGCTTATCTACTTTTTCATATCTATCAGTATTTGCTTTATGTAGATGGGTATGCCAGTATTTGGTATATATTTATGCTCATAACCTCTTCCTCTTGGGTTGTCCCTTTGTCTCTCCTGATCAGTCTTGGTTTGAAATCCACTTTGTCTGCAAATAGAATAGTTACCCTTGTTTTCTTGGGAGGTTCCTATCACATGGAATATAGTTTTCCATTCTTTGAATTTCAGTCCGTGAGTTTCTTTTTGGGTTAAATGTGTTTCTTGTATACAGCATTTTGTTGGATCTTGCCTCTTGACCCATTCTGCCAATCTGTTTCTTTTGACTGGTGAATTAACATTTATGATTATAATATTATTTCTCTTTCATTGGTTCCTTTCTTCTGTTTATTTGCCTGCCTGACCTGATGGATTTATTCTGTTGGGATTCTTAGAATTGTTGTCTTTTTCTAGAATAATCTCCAGAACTTTCTGGAGAGCTGGTTTGGCATGAATTTCTCCAGGTGTTCTTTATCATGGAAGTATCCTGTTTTTCCATCAATTTTGAAAGATAGTGTGCAGGATACAATAGTCTGGGTTTGAGGCTTTCTTTCAGGGCTTTAAATACTTCAAGTTCCTCCTAACTTATGTATTGTATTGGGAAATCAGCTGTGATTCTAATCGTTTTCCTTTACAAGTGATTTGTTTCTTTTATCTAATAGCTTTTTTGTTTTCCTGCTGAGTTTCTGGAATCTTGAGTATTATATCCCCTGGTGTAATTTTTTTCTTGTTATGACTATTTGGGTTTCTATATCCCTCACTTCTCTGTATGCCAAGTTCTTTCTATGCTTGGAGTGTTTTCTGCTATTACTTCTGTGAATGGGTTTTTATGCCATGAGCGCTATCTTCTGATTCTTCATTGATTCCAAATAATCTTACATTAGTCTTCTCTGTATCATCTAGCAGCTGTTGGATTGATTTTTCATGGTCCCTTGCTACTTTTGAGGTCTTTTATTTGATGATTGTCAAGTCCAGGCCTATCTTCTAGATCTGATATTCTGTCTTCACATTGGCTGACTTTACGGCATACACTTTCAGTAGAATTTTTAACCTCCTGGATTTCTATTTGAATCTGTTGTATGTAATCCAGTCCTTTTCTATGTTGGGCATTCATGGTTTCCATGTCTTTCCTAAGCTCTTCTATCTTTTTTAAAATCTGTATCTATTCTATATTCCCTAACCATTTCCTTCATTATGGTTGTCATCTCTTTGATTATCTCTGCCTTTTATCAAGAGGCTTGTGGGTTTTTTACTTCTGCCACCACTTCATAAAATTCAGTGTTTTTGGACAAAATTATCATGGGGGCCAGTTGTGCCTCAGTGGTAGAGCACTTGCCCAGCATGCTTGAGAACCTGGGTTCATCTCCAGCACTGAACAGAAAAAAGTGATCGTGGTAAAATATACAAAATATAAAATGTCTCTGTACCATTCAGTGGTATTAAATACATTCCTCTCCAGAACTTTTTCATGACCCCCAACACATGTCTGTTGCCATTAAACGCTAAGCAGCTCCCCCAGCCCCATCAAGCACCTTTCAGCTCCTGCCGCTCTGAATCCAGCCTTGCTGCTCGGCCCAGGACAGCACCTGCCCCACCCCTGGGTGCTGACTTTGTTCAGTGTGAAGTGCTTGAGGTTCCTCTCTGTGACCACAGAAGGGGACTCAAGCCCAGCCCTCTCCCGAGTGGCCCTCCGAGTGTTTTTCCAAAAAAATAATTTAAAAAAAAACACTCGAAAATGGCTCAATGGTTTCTCAAATCAGAGGTTTGTGCACTTATTTTGTAGCCTGGCCACTTCCGGGCAGAGCCAAGCAGAGAAAGCAGCAGGTGCTGGACAGACAGCAGGGTGGGCACCATGGGAAGCCCCGGGGTGCGCTCCATGGTGAGTGTTAGCAGACATGGACTGAAAAGTAAACATCTGAAAGCAAAAACCAAAACCAAAATAGCAGCGCGCTGGTGCTCCCTCCCACGGCCCATCCCAGGAGGGACCTCAGGAAGGTGGAGGCCGCTTCTCCATCCTGGTCCTAGCAGCCCTGCACGGAGTGCAGGGCACAGCGATGCCCCAAATGAGACTCCTCAGGGCCAGCGCCCCCCAGCAGCCCCGCGCCACAGGAACACCTTCAGCAGCGCTTCCAGCCTGTCCGGGTACCCAGATACAGCCTCGATTACGTGGGATTGGTGGGGGACCCAGCAAAGTCAAGGCTGGGGGTGGCAAGGGTTCCCCCGCAAGCACTTTCCAGGCAGCAAGGCCTCTGGGAGCCTCTGGTGCAGACGCAAGCTGCGGCTGCTGTGGGGAAAGAGGCCTTGGCGGCTTGGGGAGACGTCTGCCCCACCTGCTGGATGCGGGGTTCGCGCCATGGCAGCCTAGGCGGCTGGCTTCAGCCCTGCGCACCCTGCTTCCCCCAGGGAGCCCCCGCCCCGCACCTGCAGGACCTTGTCCCAGGCCCTTACAGTGCTTTGTAAAGAAACCTACAGACCCGCAGAGACCTGGGACCTGGCCAGAGCCCAGCCTGGGCCTGCAGGGAAGGCGATGTGGGGACTGGGCCTCCCTGTCCTCCTGCACCCCAAGCCTGCCTGCGGAGCTGGCTTCCTGGTGCTGGCAGCACAGCAGCTTCCCGCTGGTCTGCCTGGGGGAGCTGCAGGCCGGGGGCTCAGAGGCCGAGGCCTTCTCTGCAGTGCCCTGGCCCAGGCCGGACCACACCTGCGCAGGGCACAGAGGGCCCAGACGGCCTCCGCCCAGGCGAACCTGTGAGGCCCAGGCCACCTGGAGGGAGGCAGGTGTGTGGCGGGCCGGGCCGTGTCCCTGGCAGCCTCACACCCTTCTGTGGACATGGAAAATGGAGGTGAAACGCAAATGATGTGAGCATAAAGCCTGGCACTTCGAGGGCTCGAGGCAGACATGGGTGCAAGTTCCACCAGCTTCTGGTTGTACCATTCAGCAATGGGTGTGCACCCCACATTACTCCCTGGCCAGGGTGCCTGCCTAGGGACTCGGGGACCTGCCTGATGTCCTGTGGCTCTTCCAGCTCCTGCACCATGTGACCCTGTTTCACCCAGCATGCAGTCCTCCTGGGCAGTTCCTGTGGGAGACCTATCAGTCATTTGATCCTTTTTGATGGCCGAATAATACTCCACCACATAGAAAGAGCATATTCAGTTTACTGTTCATTTACTGATGGGGTTGTAGCATTTCGTCTTTTACAAAAGGATCTTAGTGTCCTAAAACCTATGCTCCAACTATTTATTCCTCTTTTCCTCAACCCCTGGCAACTACAGATGTTCTACTATCTCCATGGTGTTGCTTTTCTGGAATGTCATATACGGTCATACTGCCATTCACAAAAGCTTCTGTGTGCAAACTATTCAGTTCACCAAAAAAAAAAAGGCATTTGGCAGAATTTTGCATCCGATCACAAACTCCACACTGGTGGACAAACAACCGTGACCATCTTCCCCCACAAACATGCAGACAGCCGTCTTCTCCCAAATCATAAAGCAAATTAAATCCACAATCTGAGGTGGGATACCACTGTGCCTGAGTCAGGCTTTTCAGACTGGCTTCTGTCAGTCCCACGCATTTAGGTTGCTTCCTCATCTTTTCTCAGCTTGGCAGTGCCATTCTCTTCAGTGCGGTCAAATATTGCCACTCGCATGTACCAGAGCCTCTCTAGGCAGAAGGCGCTCGGTCCTCTCTCGTTTTTCTGCATGCGGCAGGCAGAGTCCCGTCCAAGCAGCCTTTCTCTCTGGAGCTGCTGCCGACAGCGCAGCTAGAAACCCAGGCACGCAGGCGGGAGGACTGACCAAGGCTTCTGGTGGGGCAGCAGGGAGAGGACACCGAGGGTGGAGCCCAACTTCTGCCTGAGCTGTGGTGCTTCCCTGTGGCCCCGGGAGAGCTGTGCAACCTGGAGCAGCTTGCGGGTCCTCTCCACGCCCTCTGCCAGGAGGGCACTGAGATGGAGTCCACTGGGGCAGTGGGTGTAGGCCTTGTTGGGGGGCGCGCAGGGACCTCCCCCCCCGGCCTCCCTTTCCCTCAGGTCCGAGCTCTGCCCTCGCAGGCAGAGGGTAGTCAGCTGGCATCCCACCGCCCTAGGCCGACCACTGGGCTCACGCCCCGTGCCTGCGGTGCAAGTTTTTAACTTTTACTTTTCCATGCGTGCTGGCCTTGTTCATGTATTCATTATGTTCCCTCAGCCCTTCTGACTATGCCTCATAATCACAGGGTCATGGCGGTGGAAAAAGGCTTTTCTCCTTTTTCAACCTCAGTCCCCTGTCAAGGGTGGACTTCCTTTCAGTGACGTTACAAACCCTGAATCATAGGCTAGACATGCTCCGATGGTTTTGAGCACTGAACAATTCATACTTTGTGGAAAACTCCTGTGAGCAGCTACAGATCTTCATCTTTTTCCTGACTGTGTAATACTCCAGCCTGTGAGCTTCTCAGAGTGCTCTTCGACAGCTAAGAGACTTTTTCTCCAGATGGCAAAATAGCAATGTCATCTTTAAACATAGTGGAACTTTGATGAATTCTTTTTAACTTGCTGGGAGCCAAAAACTACACACACAGTTCAGAAGTCCAGACGGCAGCTCTGTACGTGAGTATTTGTAAGGGTAAGGAGCTGGGCTGAGGAGGTTGGAAAGTGGCTGGGCAGGGAGACCAGGGAGTGAAGAGTTAAACTTTGGTCTCCTTCCGGTCAGGGTCCGGTATTCCGGCCTTTTGTTTTCCTGCTTTTCCAAGTGCAGAAGGGATGATGGCTGAGATGTCAGTCAGAAGCTTAAGGAAACAATAATCCTCAGCTGCCCTGATTCGCAAGGGTGGGAACTGCCCTTCGGCCCTTGCTTTAACTTTGTGCTTTAAGTTTCTTTCTTAATTAAAAAGCCTCGTCTGCCCCACGTGAGCTCAGAGGGACTCATTGATTGTAACTTCTCGATTAACCGGTCACTGTTCTCCAGCTTTGTCTCCGCCACCAAACTGACAGAACAGTGACTTCACAGCGAGCAGTCTCCAGGCCCGGGGTGGAGCAGAGTCCGGGACACCACAGGTCACAGGCCCCTGAGCTCAGCTTCCCTGGGTGGCTGCATCCCCTGCTGGAGACTCCAGAGTGTTTTCTCCCAGAGGAACTTAGCTTTGCTGGATGACCAAAGTCTGAGATGCCCAGGAACTAGTGTCTGCCCTCAGGGTCTCTGAGGACACCGGGAGGCTACCGCCTGCAGGGCCTGGACTCCCTCCGCCAGAAGTGGTCAGCTTGGCTCACTGGACGGGCACCAGGGAGAGGCTTGGGTTCCAGGTACTGTGAGAGCCACCATCCGTGTCCTAGTAGCTGCGCTGGGGCTGTGAGCTCTGTAGGAGTTCGGTGAAGGGCAGCTTCCCGGGAGCACAGAGGCCCGGCCTGCGTGAGTTCCCTGACGGCGACCTGGTGCGGGGAAGTCTCTGATGAAGTTTCCAGTGATCTCCATTCTCGGGCTGGGATCTGCTGACCTCCTGTGGCTGGGCCCGAAGGAGCAGCAGCCTGGCTTCCTGGGCAGGCAGCTGTCTTCCCGTCCAGGCCCCTGGGGTCGGTGCACACCTGCTGTGGCTCTGTCTGCTGGACCAGTGCCCTGTGCTCCCTCCTGGGACAGCTGCCTGCAGCTCTTGGCTGTGCCCTGGGGCCTTGGCACAGACCTCAGGGCTGGGTACCCCCATCCTCTCCCAGACCCGGGGACCCGAGTTGTGTTTCTGCAAAGCAGGCCCAGCAGATGACCTGGGCCACATCGGGCGATGTCTGGCGATGGCCCTGGAGCAGATTTCTTGCTCCAGATTTCTTGCACTCTCAGAATCATGTGGGGTCCCACTGGATGCGTGTCGTGATTTTTCACATCACATTACCAGGACTGCGGCGTGTGGAGAACCCCGTCCTTCAAGCCATGGGGCAGACACAGGTGTGTCTTATATGGGTGCTGCTGGCCTGGTGCAGGACCCGGGCCAGCGCGCCCCAAGGGAAGTGGAGGGGGGTCAGAGAGCACTGAACAAACAGACCTCCCGCAGGTCTGTGGAAGGCTGGGGCCCCTTTCCTAGCCCCTCTTCCTGCTGTTGCCACATGAGATGGTACCAGAGGTTGGAGCTGGAATAACACAAGCTTTGCCAAATCCCTTGAGCTGTTTCTCTGGAGTTCAGGCCTCCAGGTCTGTGGGCCGCACCTGTCCCGCCTGCTCCCAGCACCCTCTGCAGAGGGGGTGGGGAAGAGGGCAAGGTGTGGGCTGGGGGGGCACAGGCCCCCTTGATGCTGGGCCAGCTCCCTCCCTCATCCCCCACCTCAACTGTCTGCTGGCCAGGGTGACCCTGTCAGCCAGTGTGCTTGGGGGAAAGCACCTCCCACATTGAAGGGATCCATGGCTCCAGCTCCTTCGGAGGCTTCCAAATTCACAGACCTGTTAAGCGCCCAGGAAAATCCCATAAGCGATAACTACAATTTTTTTTTTTTTTTTTTTTTGTTACTTTTTCAGTCCCGGACCCTTTCCTGCAAATCCGCAAGGAACACCGCTTAGCTGTGCTGGAAAAAGCTGGCACGAGCGATGTTTTATTTGTAGGAACGCTGTGAGGTCAAATTTGCTAACAAGAAATCCAGCCTCAGACGGCTGGAAAGCATGCTTTGTGCTAAGGCAAGTGTGGAGTGGTGCGGGGAGGGGTCCCCTTCCTCACCACAAAGGTTCCTTTTTATCCCTTCCCCAAGGGATCCCGTATTTTGAAAGCTTTTATCTACCCAACAAACTGCATTTATTGAATAATAATTTGGGTTCTTTTTGAATTGTATTCATCAAAGACATCTCACCGCCAATTAGTGTCTCTGATCCGTTGAGATAACCACATCTTCCAGCCCAAAGCAAGCCAGGGTAATGTTTTATTTAGTCTGGGAGCCTCCAGGAGGGAAATGCGCGACTTCCTTTGGGCTTTTTGAAAGCCTGGAAATAGCTTGCAGGCCCCCTCCCTGGTTGATTCACAGAGAGCAGGACCCAAATAGGAGAGGGTCGGAGGGCGCGGGGGTCGCAGGGGCCACAGAGGACACCGGGGGACGGGGACTCTAACTCCAGCACCCATGGAGGGGGGCTCAGGCCGGAGGTGCGTGCTTAGGGCACCCGACGACGTGGGGGCGCACCTGAGCCCTCCTCGGGCTCCTTCAGCCCAGACCTTTGGCACTGGGGCGGGCAGGGAAGGGCAGAGGGAGGTACCTGAGGGGTCCCTCCCCAAGTATCCTTGGAGCTGGAGGCCAGGGAGCTCAGGTACCCTGGAGCTGAGTTGTCTTCTGCTCGCCCTCACTGGAGAAGGGGCCCAGCCTTGCTGACAGCTCTGCACCCAGGCCGGGAAGGAAAGGGCCAGGAACAGGCGTCCTCAGCCCAGCATGGGCTCCCCCTGGCTGCAGGAGAGATGTTCCCTGTGGAAGAGTGCAACTGGGTGACCCAGGGACCCAAAGCCAAAGCCGAAGCCGAAGCCGAAGCCGAAGCCGAAGCCGAAGCCGAAGCCGAAGCCGAAGCCGAAGCCGAAGCCGAAGCCGAAGCCGAAGCCGAAGCCGAAGCCGAAGCCAGGGCCAGGCCTCCACAGCGAGCCGTTCCCACAGACCCTCGACCCTGCACCGAGCCCCCAGCCCCAGCGCCTGCCTCCCCCATGAGCGGTAAATTTCTCGGGAAGATGCCGTCCGTGTTCCTCTGCAGAAGCAGATCCTTCCCTGAAACCTTTTCCATGACCTTTTTAGAAACAAATCTGCGCTATGCATTCACCCATTGGCAAAGACAGCCTGGACCCACCCGGGAGGCCAAGCTGGGCACAGTCAGGGACCAGAGTGCGGTTGCGCCGCACCCTCAGCCCAACCAGCAACCAACGACTGCCAAGTTTTCCAAGCCTGGACCAAAGGGGCGATCCCCCTGCCTCGGCGTCCCGTGTGGCGAGGGCTCTGTGCCCGCAGCCAAGGGTGGGCCGGGCTCTCCGGGGGCTCGGGGCGGGCAAGGGCCCAGGGTCGCCAGCAGGGCCACACGCTCTCCGTCGCGCACCGCGGAGTCTCGGTGTTTGAAGCGCGGCAGCGCAGGCGCGGCCTCCGGGACTCTGCGCCCACGAGGTTTCCGCGCGCACCGCCAGGGGGCAGCACCGCCCCGCGCAGGGCGCCCCTCCGCCTCCGAGTGCGCCTGCGCACAGGCCCCGGGCCGCCCGCTCCCGCGCGTCCTTTGGGGCGGGGATCCCGCACACCGGGCCCGGACGGGCCTGGGGGTGCCTCGGGGCACGAGGGGCCTGGAGCTGCCTGGGGAGCGCGCAAGGAAGCAAGAAGGTCGCCGGAGTGCAAGGCCAGCCTGCGCCACGCAGGGACCGCCGCCTCCAAATAAGCAAACAGCAAAGAAGGGTGGCATTAGAAACGCAAAACAAAAAACACGGCCAGGTGAAGCGCTGTCGGGGTCCGCGAGAGCTAAGGGCCCGGGGCGGGATGACCGGCCGGAGGACGAAGGAAACAGGGTAGAAGGCCGGGTCCGGGAGCCCGCCTCTGGATGGAGCCCGTCTCAGGCGCCCCAGCTCGCTGCTTCCGCCCGGCCGTGTCCCCTGTTCCGGGTTCTTGTGCACGCGCTTGTGCCCGCGGGGGCGCAGTCGCCAGCTCAGGCGTCCCCACCTCCACCCGGGGCCCCGCGGAGCCCCGCCCTGGGCACCGGCCTTCCCGGCTGCCTCCTGCAGGCACCAGGGGTCTCTGTGCCGGCGCCTTCGGCTTCCTTTCGTGTTCTGCATGTGGAACCTCGGCGCAGCGCTGCTAGGAACCGGGGTACCGGGGCGACCTGGGGTCCTTCCAAAGAGAGCAGGGTGCCCTGACCAGCTTCGAGAACCGCGGCCTGGGCGAGGCCTCGGGCAGCAGCATGGCTGATGCCCGTGCCATGGAAATGATCATGAACTGTCGGTATTCAGATGTGCAGTGTGACACCAATTTTGTCACACAGGTGCATTGCTGTGGGTGTGTAATAGCCACGTTTAGAATATTTAGAATATTTCATCATTCTGTTGATGAATTCTTCATTTTAAGTTGGTGAGCTTTATTAATGAATATATTATACTTAACGGAAAAATATCAAAGATGAAGTATTGAATTTTTAATACTTATCGAGTGTTTATAAAAAAGCATCAAAATTCTCATTGCCAACTGTGTGTTGGTGTGCAAGGTCTAAAAAAATATCAGCAAAGAAATTCCTCTAGGATCTACAATGAAAATACCAGTAGCACTCTACAAGAAAACTTTACTTCAATGATTACACCTAAGGCAGTCAGTCGTACACACCACAACCGCCCGTCCCATACATTTGCAAATCTGCTTTTTCGTGTGCCCTTATACTGAATTGGGCTACTTCTACCAGAAACGTCAAAAGAAAACTTTAAGAACAAATGTTACATGCTGCTCTGGATTTCCTGCGCAGACCTTGCCATTCATCTGCCAAGTGGGTGAATGCACAGATGGGTCTTTGCTTTACCGCAGCTCAGCTACTGTGAATCACACCCACATTCCATTTATGATAAAATACATGTTCATGGAACAGAAGAGTAGAATGGGTGTATTTTACCCTCTGTGATGCTCAGACAAACATACGCAAAACCTGTTGGCACATTATGTGGCTAAAAACCCCAGTCTGACACTTTTGCACACATGCACACCCCTGCCATTTGTCGTACCAAGTGGGTAAATGAAGATTGCTTCCTGCCTCCCCCAGGTGTGGTTACCGAGGTGCACAGTCAGCTGCTGTTATGCTAAAGCGTAACCCTCTTAAACAACCCACCCCATACTACTGATATTATAAATCTGTGCTTTAGCTGGGTTCTGAAATGCTGAAAAGTAATTGCTCTGGCTCCCTTCAGTGTCGGTACAAACTTGCCAATATCAGATAAAGTGTTTTGTCATGCAGCAAGACGAGCACTCAAATGGAAGGGAAAAATGTCACGTCATGGTTTGTGCCTAGATGTCCCCCCAAGTCTCATGCAGTTTTATTACAGGGCTTTTTGGGAGGTGGCCGAATGCAGAGTATGTGAAGGGTTAAGGGTGCTGACAGTAAGGGTGGGTGATTCCTGGGTCAGTCCACTGCTTGGATAGGCACTGCCCTCCCCTGGTAGCCTGGGTACACTATGAGGGACAGAGAGAGGTCTGTCTCTGCTTCCTTTGTTTACTTTTGCTGTTTTCTGCCACCGTAAACTCTTTCTCCTCCGCAGTGCCTGTCTGCCATGCTACCCTGCCTCGGACCCAGCTGATTATGGACTGGAACCTCTACAACCTGTGAGCTAAGTAAATTTTTCCTCCCTTAACTTTGTGTGTCAGGTATTTTGCTTCAGCCGTGAGAGAAAAGTGACTGAGACATGTTCTGAGCAGTTCTGCAAGAAAACAGAGACTCAGGCCACCAACAAATAAAGCTAAGCTGGACGCGGTAGTACACACCTGTAATCCCAGCACCTGGAAAGCTGAGGCAGAAAAACAGCTGTATGTTTGAGGCTACATGGTGAATTCAAGGCAAGCCTGAAGTACAGAGTGAAACCGTCTCAAAAAACCAACAAAAAAAGCAAAAACAAGAGTAATAAGCATAATAGAACCTTGCTTTATTGTAAAACTACTTATTTAATGATTTAGATTTAAACAACTTTCAATGTTTTGTATATCAGGAGCAACCTGAAGCTCCCTGAATTTGATCTAAATTCCAGCTGTGTAGAGATCTTGACAGTCTCAAGGTGCCATGGGAAGAATTGTGTTCCTCCAAAACCCACAGGGTACAGCTGTGAGCCACTGCCTGGGAACGCGAGTGTATTGGCAGAGGGGCCTCACAGAGGGGCAGCAGGCCGTGAGAGGGCAGTGGGGAGCAGGGCGGCAGCAGCCTGCCTTCTCCCTGTCCCTTTGTATCCCATCCAGGCTGCAAACCTATTGATTGGTTCCACCCACACCCAAGGTGGGGTTTCATCACCCACCCTTAGAACTGCGCTAAACCAATTTAGTCTCCACGCACCCTTAATCCTGGCATCACAAAGCCACGACCCATGAGTGTGTGAGGCTTCAGGGGTCATCTAGACACAAGCCCTAATAGAGGCTGTGTGGTGGGCTCTTATGCAGGGTAACTGGTGACCTTGTACGAAGAGGACATGAGGACACAGACAGTCAGACAGACACCTCCCCCTGCCCATGTGAAGATGGGGGAAGCCCGACCCCAACTTCAGCCTCCAGCACTGGGGTTCTCCTCTGGCCCTTGAATGTGCAGGCCTTTGTTCTTCACAGACTAAGGAGCCGCCCAGGAAGACGCCAGAGGACCCGCAACTCAGACAGCTCCATGTCCTGATGAATCCTTTCACCAAGGCTGCTCCCAGCAAAGCGAGGACAGTGAGTCTCCAGAGTGAGTCACGTGTTTCTGTGCTGCCACGTGTGACATGAGAATGACAGACATCCTTCTGGGCGTCCCCGAGGTGGTGATGGCCTGGGCCAGTCACGGCTGTGCCCAGGCAGGGACTCCAGTTTGGGAAAAAAATGAGCAGATAAAGGCGCTGGCCTCCTCACCAGCTCTAAGCTGTGGTGAAGGAATCGGCAGGAGCAGGAGGTCCTGGACACTTGGACCTGGCCCCACACAGGTGAGGTGGCTTCTGGGCTCTGCAGCTGCAGGGAGCTTGGGGAGACCAAGGCAGGGGCTGTCGGAAAAGGCACGCAGGCAGGAAGGACGCTGAGACTGTCTTGGGGATGGGCCGAGCACACCACACCCAGTGCTGTCCACAATGACAACAGCTCACTGCTGACTATCTGCAAAAATTGCTGCTGGGCATGGTGACGCATACCTGCAATCTCAGCATTCAGGAGGCTGAGGCAGGAGGATTGCCTTGAGTTCAAGACCAGCGTGAGTTACACAGTGAGACCCTGTCTCAAAGTAAATAAAATAAAATAAGATCACGAGAGTTGCTGATGGTCACATGATGCTTTTTTAAAAACTGTTTTTGTTTTGTTTTGTTTTGTTTTGTTTTTTTTTTTTGTGGATGAGCTGGATTCTCCTAACACACAGAGGAGATTTTCTTGAGGCGGGGGCTCTGGGCTCTGTGGCTGAGCGGCACTGGGTACTCAGGCTAACGAGGGAAATCGAGGATCTCAGAGCAGAGCTCCCTGCTGGCACCACTGCTTACAGGCGCCTGCAGCTTCTCTGCCATAAAACCTTATTAATTGGAAATCCCCAGAACAGAAAGAAAACAGCTCCAGCTCCGTGGGACTGTGCGTTTCCTGGACTCAGCTTATCCCGGCCTTTATTAAATAGTCATCAGGTATCTTGTTAGTTGGGGACCAGTAGTGGCTTTGAAATAGTGGCTATTTTTAATTAACCAATGTGGAAATACTGAGACTTTCCTGTAATTCGGTATGATTTAATTAACTCTGACTCTGTGTCAGGCCTTAGACCCCTCTGCCCCATCCGGAAGGCCCTCAGCCTTTCCTCCCCGCAGCCTGGGGCAATCTGGGGGCGGCTCTGTCTGTCTCTGGGCAGCAGAGGGGACCTGGTCTGCACTCGGCAGCCTTCACCTGATTTTTTGGGGGGGAGTGTTTTTCTGTTTACCCTTACTGTTGACACATGGCCACCTTCCTGTGCCACTGAGTCCCCCACCCAGCTTTCCACAGCTTCTCCATTAACTCTCAAACCGTCCCACGGGGGACCTCGCAGGTGGCCTCGGGAGGTGGGAAGGGCACAGAGGGCGGGTTTGTCCTCTCCTCACTCGGCTTTGCCTGAGCCCCTGACTCTTGCAGGAAGGGTAATATGTCATGATGTGGAAACAGAAGTTCTGTCCCAGACAAAGCCAGGGCGCTGGGGTGGGGTGCACGTCCTCCAGCCCCATGGCCAAGGTCTCTGCTCGCAGCTCCTCTGTTTGTCCCAGGGACCCAGCAGCCTGTCACTCTCCCTCACCCTACCCTGTGCAGCCAAAATGCGCTGCAGGTCTGTTCTGCCCCGGACCAAGGCCAGAGGTGAGCAGAGCTCTGTGCAGATGCCCGGGCCTGGCGTAGATGTCCGTTCATAGCCACCAGACTTGGAGGTGGCCCGGGGGCAGGTGGTGGAGCTGTGCTGGGAAGCCCACCTGCGGTCTGCAGCCCAAATCCTCTCCCGGCCAGCGCTGAGGGTCTGGGGCCACATGTGCCATGAGCGAACTGACGAATCAGAGGCAGGAGAGCGAGGTGACCGGTGGGCAGATGCCGTCCACCCTGGCATCCTCTGAGAAACTGGAGCTGTGTCCTGCCCTGAAGTGGCCGCAGGGCCGGGATCCTGCCAAGGGGAGAGCCAGCTCGCAGCTTGTGGCCGGGCGCTGCACCCACAGGTGTGTGGCAGGCAATCATGTGGGGTGTGAGCATGAGCGTGAGTGTGAGGGTGAATCCTCCCCTCTAGGAGCAGGCGGAAACCACAACCCACGAGGAATTAAGAGGCAGAAGCCATGGGCAAAGTGGTACCATCCACAGAGCCGGGGTGGTCAGCCCTTTCTGGCAGCTCCGCCGTCTGTGCCCAGCTGTCAGGGGACTCAGCTCTGCTGATAGCCACCTTCCCTGCCTGCAGCCCCCGGGCCGGCCTGGCCTCTGTTTCTGGGAGAAGAAAGTTAACTTCCACAGGCAAAGGTGGAAGGGCAGAGGGTCACACAGCGTGGACTCATTCTGAATGCAAAGTGCAGGGTGGGGGTTGGGGAGACATGCAGGACTGAGCCCACCACCTTTAGGGAAGGCAGCTGCTCTGGGTCAGAGGTCAGAAAAGTTCCATTCGGGGAGTCGGAAGTGACCTAGAGACACAGGCTGGTCACGTGGGACATTCCGTGGGGTTCCTGGGTGAAAGCCCTTCTCTCTTGGCCCACAGCTGCCCACTTTGGAAGTGGCTTGAGTCCCAGCTCCAGTGGCTTGTGTGCTGGCTTCCCCCACAGTGAGCATTTCCCCGTGGAGCAATGCTCTGAGCAGAACCCGGCTGCCCGTAGCTGGGCATGGTAGTGCACACCTGTGATCCGGCACTGGGGAGGCTGAGGCAGGAGGATTGATGTGAGTTTAAGGCCAGCCTGGGCCATATAGTGAAACTCTGTCTAAAAGCACCAAAAGAAGAAGGAGGAGAAAGAGGAGCAAAAGCAGAGGAGGAAGAGAAGGGAAAGAAAGAGGAGGAAGAGGAGCAACCAGGTGTCCAGGCCTGCCCTGAAAGTTAAGAGCTGCTCTTGTACCTGAGGTGGCACCTGCCTGGCCAGGCCCTGCGGGAAGGCCGGGTCCTGTGCAGGCCAGTGAGCTCCTGTCCCGAAGCCATGGATGCTCAGTGGGCTTTAGGAGTGAGAAGCCCAGCTCACAGTGACCAGGAAGGGGCTAGGTGTCAAGGGGGGCAAACCTCAACCACAGCGGTAGCCCCCACTCCCTCACCTCTCTTTGTTGAAGAAAGTTGTAAGTGTGCCCAGGGGAGCCCGGAGGTAGTGGGCCGTGGGCACAGACTCAATCCGTCACCACCTGTCCTTGGCTCCCTGGCCAGCATCTGACCTCCTGCCACCACCGCTGTGTCACTCTTTGGGGCCAGGCTGGTTCTTGATGCTCCAGCTGAGTCTGCTTCCAGCAACCTTTCCTCCGGCCCATCTCCTCTTCCTGCAACTTCAGGCTCATTAACGGGTTCAAAAAATTAGGTCTCTGATGGCTTCCTCATTTCAGGAAGTATTGGATTAATTATTTCCACTCAGGAAAATGTCATGCTGGAGTTGATTTCTGCTTCAGCCCCTCAGCGAATACCAGGAAGAGGCTAATGAACAGCAAGCTTAGTGCGCACATCAAAGAGAAGACCTCATTCCCCTAATGGGGAAATCCCGGTGGTTAAAATGCAGTCCTGTGCCACCGAGGGACACCTTTGCCAACAACAGATCACACAAATGATGGTGGTTGCAAATGAAGCCAGTGTGAGCCCTGGCTGAGGTCCGTGCTGCAACAGAATCGCCTCTTAGGCTGGACTCCCAGTGTGTCCCCACCCTGAGTGACGCCCAACTGTGAAACACTGACTTCCAGTCCCAGAACCGGGCAGGCACATGTTTCTCATCTGTGTCAAGCCACTGAGCACCCTGCATCAGTTATTAGTTATCAATGTGCTGTGTAACAAAAGTCCCCGCAGCGGAGTGGCTGAAAACGGTGGTTTACTGTTACTTCTGTGCCCGGCGCTGCCTTCTGGAGATTGGCTCTCTGGTACCAGGCCCGGGCTTTGACTCTAAACACACCCCCAAGTCTAGATTCCACTAAGAAATCCCAGCATCCTCATGGCAGGAGTTCCCAAGCTGTGCCATCAGTGGCGTGGAATATGTGGGTTAACTGCAGTCATCCCGGCAGAGCAGCATGGATGTTGTTCAGATTCAGACACTCAGGAGACTCATGCTCATCACAGCTCCTAATCCCTAATTCCTAGGAGCCGGAAGAGTAGAGCCTCTAGCCTCCTGCAATCCCTCTCCGTGAGACAGCAGCCCACGCATGCTAGCTGCTGCCTGGCGGGCCCTGGACGCACTCCCGGGACCTGGGAGTGCACAGTGGCCGAGCAGCTCTGGCGGGTGGCTCCTCCAGGCCTCAGGGATGGAAGAGGCCGCTGCTCAGGTAGGCGGCTTCTCATGTGGGAGGGGGTCAGGCTGGCCTCCCTGGCTTGTGTGTCAGCATGGCCTTCTCTGTGAAGATGCTGAGAGCAGCCGGACAGCCCGCTGTGCCTCCGAAACCATTGGGGCAGCAGCTGGGGGGACGTGAGGCCAGCACCGAGATCACTGCTCCTGGCCTGCTTCATAACAGGTCAGCTTTGCAGCTGAGGCTCGTTCCCAGCAGGATGCCCTGGCCAGGTGGGCCCTGGCCCCCTCCCCTGGTCCTGCAGCACATGTTTGCCTTCCGGGGAGCACAGATGCTGCACAGCAAGGTGAGTGAGGGACTCAGGAATCTGCATGTCTCAGCCTCCTTTCTCAGACACTTAGCGCACATGGCCGGGTCTGGGCCCAGTGCACAGCCTTCTGCAGACGCCTGCTGTGCCTCACAGAGCTCCCACATCCCTGCTGCTCCTCCTGTCACCACCAGGCTGCCAGAAAGTCCTAAAGGAAGTGCAGACCCCAGAGACAGCCCGGCCTGGTCCCTGGGCTGGTCCCTGGACATGGCTGTGATGAGCAAAGGTGAGCGGATCAGATGAGGTGAGGGATCAGATGAGCCGGGAGCGGCGGTGCACGCCTGCACTCCCAGCTCGGGAGGCTGAGGCAGGAAGGTTGAACATTGGAGGCCAGACTGGATAACTCAGTGAGACCCTGTCCCAAATGGAAATGAGGTAGTCGGGGGAAGAGCCCACTGATGGGCTGCTGAAGGAGAGGGTCCAGTGTCACATGAGGGTCAGGACAGTAGCAGAGAGGACAGAAGAGACCAGATTCACAGTTGTGAGCAGCACTCGGCCCACGACGCTGACCTCCAGGGCCTGCACAGGGGTGGGCAGGGGCAACCCTCAGCCTCACTGGGATTCGCACCCGAACCCTGGTCCTGTCTCAAAAACAGTGGAACAAAACACAGATGAAGAATAGGCCCACAGGGAAGAGTGGGGAGAAAGGGCCTTTGGAAAATAGGATTTTGAGTTGATACCAGAAGGCTAAAGACAAGAAAAGTACACCGGATTCCGGGAAGGTTAGTGGATTTTGCTCAAGAGTACAGATTAGCAATTTCACAGCCTCTGAAAGGTTTACACCTCCACGTTCCCCAGAAGCTTGGTGTGCCCACAGGTGGGGCTTTGGTTTTCTTTCTTTTTTTTTGTCTTTTTCATTGGTACTGGGGATGGAACTCACGACCACACACTTGCAAGGCAGGCGCTTATGCTGCTGAGCTAAATCCCCAGCCCCACTTTGGTTTTCTTTTTTGTACCAGGGATTGAACTCATGACCATGGGCTTGCCAGGCAAGCACTTACACCACTGAGCTAA